ACTTTGACAAAATACAGTAACAAGGACGTTACATGAAGTATTCACTGTTATTAGTCTCTCTAGTTAGTTGGTCTTGTTAAAGAAGTCAAACTAACGTAACAGTATAATCACATATCTTAGGTAAGTACAAAAATCACGTGAATAGTAAGTGTCTGGAGACTTTCCTTTTCAGTAATTAGCAAACGAAAAATTTAATAAACTTACATATCATGTGATTAAAATTATATTTCTATGTAAATTCAATTTACTGAATCTTACTATAGGGATGTTATCATATCTCATTTCTGGTTACATTAAAAGTTTATACAGTTTATATCTTCGAAGTTTAAATTAAATTGTAAAAACTAAACTGATAAACAATATATACTTTCAATAAAACAATTAGAACCTAAAACTAATAAACTTTTTATATGCAATAAAATAATAAGAAGATAAAATTGAAAATTTATTAACTGTTAAGCATTATCTGATATAATATAATACTATATATTACTGTATATAATTTACGGTTTTGCTTGATGTTAATTTAGATAGTGATATTTAGTTTAGTTTCAGAAGCCAAAAGTACATCAGAATTAGAGATGTAATCAGCTCTACTTGAAGCCAGCTTCAGCCACGGCTTGATACTAGAGCCACTCTTAAGCCAAGCTATTTAAATCATAGCTTTAATCAGAGAAGAATAGCTTTAGCTTTTGGCTTCAGCTATAGCCTAAAGCCAAGCTGATAACTTAGAGCCATGATTTTAAAGCCAGCTTTAGCTAGCTTCAGACGAATGTACGTAGCTAATTGAAGCCATATGGCTTAACAATATATCTATTGTTTACATATACAGTATACGTATCATTTATTATATGCTTTATAATATGAAAAAAAATTTAAACGTTAACGCTAATATGTACATATAAAAATTTATTAAACTACATAATTATTTTTTATATATATAATAGGTTATTAAACTAATTATTGGTTATATGTATATTATATAATAGGTTACATTATTTCTCGGTTTGTTCTCCAATACCCTGTTCCATCCAGCTTTTCAAACAAAGCAAAGTACACGTGGTTTCAGGGTGAAGACAATTATGAATTTTCGTAACTGTTCTTGCTGCTACTAAAAATGCTTTTTCACAGAGAATGCTTATTCTTTGAATAGCTAAATAGTTATGTACTATTTTAGCTAGGATTAGGAACCTGAATTCATTTTTCGCCTACTATTCAAGAGGATCTTCTTCAGAACACGGAGGTGAAGATAAGTATAGATCTAATTCTTCTACTGGTGGTTCATTGATTAATTGTTGCTGTTCTAATAGAGATTTAAAAAATTCTCTTTTTCTATTTTTAGAAGGGCCAGCATTAGTTGCAAAAGCTTGTGGTATATATTGAACTATTGCTTGGTATAATTTTGTGATAGCTGTATTTCTTTTTTCTCTAGGTGAGAATGTTGTAAGTTTTGAGGTTGGATCAAGGATAGCAGCAATCGTAATAGATTCATCAAGAAGCAATCAATATTCATTTAGTTTATAATGTATAGAATCTGCAACTATACATTTATCAAGTGAGTATGATCTGTCATCAATAAATCTACTAAGGTGGTGAAGAACACCTTTGAAAGACAAACGGATATCAGACATTGTTGGATATGAACTAGATGAAAGTAATACCGTTGCTTCAAGTATAGGGTAAAGAAGATTGAGTAAATCATCAATCTCTTTAAATTCATCATTATTAAGGAAAATATCTCTGAGTTTATATTTGGTTACAAGGAGGTTAAGCTCGGTATGCATTAATTTAAACCTATATAACATATTGTAAATGCTATTCCAACGTATTATTACATCGATTTTTGGTGTAATATACTGTTTTTTATTTACTGAGCAGAAATTTCGTAGGTCATTATACAAAACGATCAAACAGTAGATCTTGGATACAAAATTATGAACTTTATCTATTAAGGGAGTTTGATATTGTATTCCATAGCTAACTGCAATATTAAGAACATGTGCTGCACATCTATAATGCATAAACTCAAATTGATTCCAAATATTTTCTAGAAGTTCTCTACACACGACCATTGCTGAATAATTATCCATTGTTAATGAGATGATTTTATATCTAATTTTCATCTCATCACAAAGCCAGAGAAGTTTTTCTTTTGTGCGTTCAGCAGTGTGATTTGATTTGAAATGAATAAGGTCAAGTAAAAACCGTTTTATTTTCTATTTATCATTAATGTAATGTGCTGTAATACCAAGGTATAATTGATTCGAGTGCGAAGTCCAAATATCAGTAGTGAGTGCAAT